GAGCTCATTCTCCTTCTTCAAAGCAAGGAGTTCCCCCGTGAACTCCTCACGCATTTTCGCCATCTCGCCCATCATCTTCTCAAAAGCCTGATCAGCGAGTGACTGAGCATCAAGGGATACCTCCTCTAGACGATTGTCTAGTTCCCCTAACTGCCCTTTGAGCGTAATAACTTCATTCTCGACCTTGCCGACAGAATCCGTCATGTCGCAAGCAGCAACTTCGGCTTTGGCCGATCTCTCATCAACTTTATTCACTCGCTTCTCAAGCTTTTGGACAGCTTGAATGAGAGCCTCAGGCGCATAGCCCTCGGTTGTTTGTGAAGCACTAGCGTCCTTGCCGTCCTTGCTCTTTGCCATTCTTCCTCCTTCGCTCACAACTTGCTAACAAAGCTCGACAACAATATAGTCCCCCGCGACCGTAGCTGCTCTGATACCACGTTGTCACGTGCTGACTAATCCCCCTAGTCTTATGCACGCTAGCCTACTAACTTCCCTCCCTCGGATGCTAGTCAAGGCTTAACCCCGAAATGCTTCAAGCAAGAGTGTGCAACGAAAGTTAAGGAATGTTGAGAACACAAGAGGATATAAATATTTTGAATGCTTTGATAGCTTGAGAGAGAGTGTTTACAAGTATTTTCTGAGATGCCTCCAAATGAAGGCCAAGTCCCCTATTTATAGTGTTCTAAGCATGGCCTAGAACCTTCACTAACCTCCTCAAATGGAGGGTTCTAGATCTAATCCTTTCTAGAGTATTCTATACATTTCTTTAGTACATTCCCTCTATGTACAAGGCTCTAGAATTATCTACACAACTCTAGAATTTACAGATGATTCAAGGATGTCCTAGGAGGTTCTAGAAGCTTCCGGATGCATCTCGAGTCTCCTTGAGTATTCTGGAACCTTCCGGACTTCTCCTTCAAAATCTAACATCACCATGATGTTCATTGGGCCTAAAAATGGTGGACCCCCAAATTTGGGCTCAATCGGACTTCATTTGGGTCCCCAAATAGCCCATTATTGTGTTACTGTCACTTGGGTGTTCACTAGGGTGACAGCACTGGAGCAATATAAAGCTCTATAGGGGGAGGGTGTCTCTGGCCTAGCCAACGCGCACCAAGGGCATTCCCCCTAGCCACGATTGTTGCCTACCGTCCAATGGCCCTAGTGAGGGGTGGAATGTGTGGGTCGTGACAATATGCTACAAATCATAACTTAGATGGAAATGAAAGTGGCAAAGATGACATTAATAAATTTTACCTGTGATCTTCCAACATTGACCACGGCCTACAAATCTGTTTCGTCAATCATGGGAAGGATGTCAAAGTCTGACCTTCAGTTCCTTTGTGCAACACCAAGCTCTCTTCATAAGTATCTATAGTTATATGATCACGAGCTAAACGTCTCAAAGTTATTATTTGATGAGTAGAAAATTCGTAAGAAAACAACTTACGGCAATTGTGTATGATAAATATATCAGTGTCCTGATTATAAAAGACTCTTGGACAACAATATGTCCAATTCTTAAGTTCAGACAATTCCTTATGATTTGAATCTCTTGAACGCCATGGCCTCCACAACGGCTCCTCATTATCATCCTTATCCATAACCCATATGCAAAAGCTTACAGAAGACAAACTGAATACAGCTAACGACTCGCCAAGAATGAAAATAAACCTATAGACAGAGTCGTTTCCTTGCGTTTTGACATCCGGCAACTCCACAAAGCTAAAGTCCTCGGAATCAAAATCAAAGGAGACGAGATGAGTCTCGCGAATCCAGTACCAAGCCCCTCGAAAGAATAAACGACCAAATAGAGGTGGCATCCACGCCATTGAGGGGACATTATTCTTCCTTTTTATTTTAGAACTCCAACTATGATTTTGAAATGAATAAACTGCAATCAAAAAATCCCACATATCTCCACCACAATAATGATCAATTTTAATGGCAGCCACCTTATAATTGTTGTCGCCAGAAGAAGGATACCCCAACACGTAGTTCACCGGATCCTCCTTAGAACTCGAAGGACACGACGGAAGTATCAAGGACTTTTGAATCGAAGGGTTCCACAATCTCAACATAACTGTGTTGTCAAATAGTTTCTTAGACATCAACATCAACATCAACCCATTACAGGTTCCAAAAAGTTTGTATGACTCGTAAATCGTGCAAATATCATTAGTTATCTTAAATGTGTCAGTGCTTCGAACAGTAAAAATATATTCATCTCTGTTTTTAACGCTTCTCATAACTAATACATCAGTGCTTATACGATTGTGTTGAGGCGGAAATCTTTGGAATCGATTAGTGAACACCAGAGTTTAGAAACACACCTAAATCTTAGTAGGGTTTTCACCGGTAGCCTTGCCAGTATCTCCCTCAGTAAATCTATTGGTATGTGAATTTCTTGGTCGTCCGACATTCTCATCTTCTTGCGAATTTCTTGGCCGTCCAACATTCTCATCTCTTTGATCAAATGCAGAGTAAACAGCTTAGCCTTTTAAATTTTGTAATTATATATTTGTAAAACACAATACAGAACTAGGAAGACTCCTAAACCTAACAAAATTTTCACACGTCTAACAGGCATATATAATGTACATAAACTGCTAGGCTAGGCCTGCTAGGGTTTAGATGCTAATTTAATCTCTTTTTTTTTTTTTTTTAACACAAATTTAATCAGTTAAGTTGTTATCTTATACTAGTATTATTTTATTTTATCTTTTTTAAGGAAGAATTGTAATTTTTTTTCTTTTTTGACAAGTTTTTTTTTTTCGGGACCAAAAAGGAGGATAGCTCCTAAGAGTTCTAATTGACTCAAGACTACAAATCGAAAATTTAACTCTCTTAGCCAAGCTAATATAAGAACTAAATTGGAAATTGGGGTACAAACGTTGTGAACTTCTTGACAACGCAAATAAGAGGACTGGAGGGATCTATCGCCGGTCATAGGGAGTTCCAAACTTGTTCCCTTGCGTTTCTTGATCCTGCTAAAATAAAACTTGGAGTGTCGTTTACGTTTCTTGTTTTTTGCCTTTGATGTGATTGGCATTCCATACTTCCTCATTAGAACCTACGGATTCCACTTCAGCAAAATCAGTGGTAGATAAATCTCTTGTAGGAACCTCATTTCCTTCCTCGATATTTGACCCTCATTGCTGCCAGAAGCTAGGTCAGTAGATATATGATCATCTAACTTCTCAACAGTGGAGGTGTTGGGATTAGGAATCCAACAGTATGGTTGACCACAATGTGCCTAGAGATCGCTTAGCCTTTATCTTTTGGCTCTTCTTGACGCGATCCCTCTTTAGCGGCCCCACCATCATAGTGGGCATGAATAAGGTTTCATAAACTTTGGAGTCCTAGCCTTGTGAGAATATGGATGCCCAGAAGAAACTCAAGGTTTTCCCTTAACTCAGGTTCGACTAAGATACATCTAAAATCTTAAGGGACTTGTAATATCTCAATATGTACAGGAACATCCGGATTTTCCTTGATCTCTTGCCCTTAGCATGCCTAAAATCCTAGTTGTTTACGGAGGTAGCCTCGTTGTCCCTTTTTTTCCAAAGGAGTTACAGTTACTGTGAGATAAGGTTCTCTACCACCATTGCACTAGTAGCAACCACGCGTTGAGATAAGGTTCTCTACCACCATTGCACTAGTAGCAACCACGTTGAGATAAGGTTCTCTACCACCATGCACTAGTAGCAACCACGTTGGGTAACTCCATAACAACACTCCGAACATTATTAGTAGACAACTTGTTAGATTTTAGGATGACATCTGACTCGCTGATCTTCCACCTTTTTGTTAAAAATGGCATGTGGCATTTTGGAATCCCCGGTGCATCCTTGCCCTTGAGCTTACTAGCTTTACTTCTTAGACCTTCCATCTTCTCCATTTCACAGCGGATGTTTTGGTTGTTAGGCTTAGCCTAAACTGCTTTGTCAAGGTCTTTAAAAACCTCTTCAAGTTAATGTAACCAACTGATTTCATCTAAAGCCCATATGTAGAGGGCTTTAGTGTTATTATCATCAAGCATAATGACTAGCGAGCAGAGCTCCTTAGTTTACTCATAGTCCTAAACTTTTAAGGCGCAAGCTGCGAGGTTTAACTCAAGGGATATGGCAAGATTCCTTAAATAAACACAATAATAATCTTCAAATCTTGGCAATACAAACACAAGAGTTTCAGTTCTCTATCATACTTAGCCCCAACAAGAACGACTTCACCTTTCTTGAAGTGAACATTGTCCTCCTCTTTCAAAAATTTTGCTTGATTGAGGATATTTCGGGGGAAATTATTCTTAGCATAGTTGACAATGCTTTCGTCATAATCATCGTTCAAGTGTATGCATAAGGGCACTAATTAAATTCCGACAGTCCATAACAAAACTTCTAAAAACGAAAGTGGAATTGACTAACAAAACACAAAGAAATACGCACAAACACTACCAAAGAAAAACACAAACCCTCGAAGGGCATATCACTACAACAAGGAGCAAAGGAGCAGCAACCAACCAAACACTAAACGAATCCACAAGAGGTGAGGAGGATCGGAAATCAGTCAATTAAGCAACGAACAGAGCACCACCACCAAAGTAGAAAGAGAATTGGCGAGAAAAAAGGGGCGGCCAGAGACGACACCCAAGCGAAGGAATCCGTTAAGTCTTGAGAGGGGGGGGGGGGGGTTCGCCGGCGAGGAGCAAGCCAACCCACTCTAATCGTCAGCGGCCCAACGATTTACTGCTTGAAGGGGAAAGGTGTGATTTTAATTTAAAAACCAGGGGTTGGTTTAATGGTTTTCTTGGTTTGGGATTTTCAAGAAGGAAAGCGTATGAGGCGCGTTCCACTGTTGCTGTAAAATTGCTGCTTTTTAGAATCTTATTTTCTTAACTAATGAAAAGGGTAATTTCAAGCCAGAAGATCTAACAAACAATGCAGAATATAAACAGAGTTTTAGCAAAATTAGACTACTAATAGATAAAAAATAAAGGTCACCTTAAGAGTTAAACATGCTTGAGACATGAAAACACTCAACTTTCAAAAACCCGTCTCCTTCTGAAATGAAAGACAGCTTACAGGAATCTCCCAACACACAAGAGTAACTGGCCATTTGATCCACCTTCGCCTTGTATAACACAGTAGTGTTACTAGTGTATGAAGTTAATAGTGGTCTCTAAAGTCTTGAGCTGCTGTTAAAATTCTTCAAGATCTTAATAAGTCCAAATGTCTGCCAATAGACTGTCATAAACAATTATCTGCAGGAAGAAATGCACACAAGCAAACTTGTTCTTAGTGTCTTCACTTGTGAACAAGTCATAAATCTCAAGGAAAATGGTATAGCACTTTAGCAAGGCTTTCAAATTATTTGGAGGTTTATACTACTTAACAGAAGACATACCTTTTCTTTCAGTATGAATTACGGATAAAGCCCAGCTGTGATTACACAACAGAACGGAACGGAACGCAACATAAGATAAGCCCCTGTTTGTTTAGCAGCTATTACTTGCAACGAGTTTCAAGGTCCTGTTTGGAACTGTTAAGGAGTTAGTAACCTGTTTGTATTGTCTTGCAGTAGCTGATCTTAGAAGTCATAAAGAAAGAGTGACTAACTAATATACTTTTGCGCAGAGATGATCGATCAACAAGTATCTGATAAAACTCTTCTAAACATTCAACACTAAAAAAATAGAGTCGACTATAGGAATTTGATAATAGATTATCGAGAGGTTGAATTGTTCACAAAAGACAAACAGTATGTGCACTGTGCAGTAGCAGCTTAGTTGAATTGTTCTCAACATAACTTTGTTGCCAGATAGATTCTATAATCTCTTTTCTCTCTCTCTCTTTATTTTTTTTATTTTTTTTGAATTTCAAGCCAGGAGATCTAACAAAGAATGCAGATTATAAACAAAATTAGACTACTAATTCAATATAAAAATAAAAATAAAATTCACCGTAACAGTTAAACATCCTTGTAGACATGAAAACGCTCTGCTTTCGAAGTGAGTAATCTTGCAATGATTTACCCTCTCCTTCTGAAATGAAGACGGCTTACAGGAATCTCCCAATACAACAAGGAGAGTAACCAGCCATTTTATCCACCTTTGCCTCGTATGACACAGCATGAAGTTATTAGTGGTCACTAACTCACTATAGTCTTGAGTTGCTTTAAAATTCTTCAATCTTGATAAGTCCAAATATCTGCCAATAGACTGCCATAAACAATTATCTGCAGGAAAAACTGCACACAAGAAAGCTTGTTCTTTGAGTCTTCACATGTTAACAATTCATGCATAAGCAGCATAAATCTTACAAGGAGAATGATATTGTACTTTAACAAGGCTTTCAAATTATTTGGAGGTTTATACTACTTTACAGAGGACATACCTTTTCTTACAGTATGATTTACGGATAAAGCCCAGCTATGATCACACAAGGAACACAATATAAGATAAGCCCATGCTTGTTTTGCAGCTATAACTTGCAAGGGTTTCAAGGTCCTGTTTCTCTGTTAGTTAAATCTTTGTGGCACATTTTATCATTCTTATGAGCAACTTAAGGTTATCATAACCAAAATTGCATATCCTGTTTCGAAATCATCTACGATAGCAAAGTGCAAACAGAAACATATACATACGAAGTATTAGGTTCTCAAAGCACGAACAGATACTGAGATTATTCACTCATTCACATGCAATGTGCAACAGAGTATCAGAATAATGCCAAGATAGCAAGGAAATAAAAACCCAACAATACACAAACTGCTGAAACTGAAGCTAGCAGTGAGTTCCGTCATGTCCTGGGCAATCTCAGGCTTTCAGCAGTAACTGAAAAAAGATAGTGCACCGAGGTACATAGGGAAAAGCTTTTGACTGATTTTGTTGTATACAAAATAGTTTTTTTTATTAACAAAAACAATTTAAGGTCACGGTGAAAAGCAAGAGGCTGATAATCTAGAAAAGGCTACATATTTTGGTTGGGTGTTACAATTAAAAACAACTCATTTTTCCCCTATGCTATCCTTGCAGACCTTACGCCAATAATTGCTCTGTGAAAAAGATCCTAAACCAAAACACCAAGCTACCGGAGATAGTAGAGTTTGCTGTGTATCATCAAAGCTCCAAAAGAATAGTCCATAACACCTCTTCTCTTTCATTCTAAATTTCTCGTCAATGACAACAAGGTCAACAACATTGGTGAAACAATCATGAAATTCTGAATATAGAGTATGTTCAGTTCAATTTTACCTTGCAACCGATATCAAAGCACAAGTTGCAGTAGGCAATTGGAATATGCACACCAGAGAAAGGACATCGAAGCAATATTTGCATAAGTTATATATATGGAATTGAAATGAATATGGGTCAGACCAAAACAATAAGACCCAAAACAATTTGTCATATACATAATGCACATAGATGAAGGGAACATTTTACCAAGTATCCTACAGTAATTGCCTTCTAAACAAGTCTTTTGCCGGAAAAGACATAAAATTGATGCCAACAAACAAACTGAAGCCATTTTCTATGATTCAAACTTGAAGCCTTGATCACACCTCCTTTGTAGGAGAAGTTGGGAACTTATGTGCTCAATCTCAGGGAGATAAATATTGAAGTTCTTCATAATCGAAACAAATAATCCAATCTCAGTAAGAACAAATAATCCAATTTCAGTAAGTACATATGAGATCAGACAATCCACAATCAAGGCCTTCATAATTTTTGGTCCTGCCTAAGTGCCTATACACACAGCAAAGCTGCAGTGGCAGCTGCAATCAGTGGAATTTCATCATCTGCCTTCCTCCAACAATTGTCTTAAAAGTTATAGTCGTCCTCATCATCATCATCAGTATCATAATCATCATCATACATCCACTCCTCCTCATCTTCTTCGCCCTCAGAAAAAGCCGAGAACCTCCCACTCCCAGCACTCAACTTCCCACCCGGGATACCAAGCTCATCCACAATCTGATCCAAGTCACTCCCACCTTCAACACCCTCATCAAACTCCGAAATTGAGAACAATCCATCACCCCAATCACCCACTTCCTTCCTCCTAGGCACCAAATCCTTCTCACTCACCTCACCCTTCTCCACCCCGCCCCACGGAACCCACAAATCAGCCTGCATTCCCAACACCCCATTCCTATCCCCCACAACCACGGTCCCCAAATTCGCCTCCCCTGCCTTCCTCAACATATCCCGAAAATCCGAATCATCCGAAACCAAGAACAACCAATCCACCCCTCTACTCATTGAATGCATCATCTGCCTCTTCAATGCCCAATCCGCCGCCTGCGGCTTATCCTCCACAGTCTTGACAAACACCCCAGCTCGCCGCAACTCCTTAGCTAAACCATACCCAACTTTAGGCGTAATCAAAGTTCTAGCAGCCTCCTCAAACTTAGAATTCTTCTCTAAATACCTCTCCTTAAACTTCTGCCTCTTCTTACCCTTCAATTGTTTCATCCTACTCAATTTCTTCTGCCTTTCCCTCTCATGTAATTGCCTAAAATGCTTCTTCAAATCTAAATTAGTCTTACACTTTCTACCACATACACTACAAACATAAGGCTGAGATGGGGTGATCATACCTTTGCGCTCAAGAAAATCCATCTGCCGCCTTGCACGGCGCTCCTCGATGACCCGTGCAGGAAGATGCGAGAAGGCGTGCCGATTAGCATAAGCGGAGATGTCGACCACCTCGCCAAACCGTGCGGCGAGCGTTCTCAGCGACACGGCCGCGTCGTAGGGGGGCCCACGAGGGGGTTTGTTATCCAAATCCCACAAAACAACCACCTTCGTTTGGTTCGGGGCGAAAACCCCATCTCGGGTCTGAACCATATCGATGTCGGAGGAGAGAGAAGAATGGGGACTGTGACATTGAAGAGGAGGAGAGAGAATTTGAAGTGGGGTTTGTTTTGAAGGGAAGAAGATGGAGTTTGGGGGTTTGTTGAAGGTTGGAGGAGAGAGAAAATGGGTGGATGAAGATGGAGGTGTTTGTGAGAGATTTGCAGGAGAGAGAATCATTGTTTTTTTCTGGGAATTTGAATTTTGGGGATTGAAGTTTTAGAGGTTATTGGGAGGAGAGAGAAAGTAGGAGTTGATTGGCGGAGGTTGCGGCGGCGATAGGCGGAGAGAGATTGAAGATGGGAGATTTAGGCAGCTAGTGTGGTGAAGTGTAACCGCCGAGATGAGTGACATTGTACTAATGTGGATAATAAATGATGATTCATTTTATGATATGGTTTTTAGTTATAAAGTTTGGATCTTTGTGAAATTGTGTTAGCAATGTGCTTTGGTCATCTTGAAACATTTTTTTACACCTTTGCATATGTATGGTTTATGTGGAAATACAATTATACAAAGGTGTTAAAAATTGATACAAGATAAAATAATCATGCCTTGTAAGAAGTAAACCGGTGGAAAATTATATGTAGGGTCTGGTTTGATTTACTGAACCGAACTGATTGGCGTTGAACCGAACTGAATTGAATAGAGCTAAAATGATTATTTTATAAGAGAAAAAAATTAGGAATTGAACTGAACTGATTGGAGCTGAGCTGAGATGAACTGAAATTAAGCTAAAGAGAACAAACCCTTAGTATTACGTAGGACTCAAAATCAAAATGACTCAATGCAACTTAATCAGATTTGAACTTGATTTGTGATTAGAATTGATTGGCACCAATGGAATACACTTTTTCTTTTTCTTCTTCTTCTTCTCTTCTTTTTATTTATTTTTTTATTTATTTTTTATTTTTTTTAAGGGATGGGATATAGATTCTGATTAGAGAGATTTTGACCTTATTAATGATTCAAATAATTGAAGCACTTATTGTTAAGTTGGTACAACTAGTGGTTGTTATTTTGTTAAAGAGTAATGGTGCGTTCAATTCACTTGATTTTTTTGCTAAACGGAATTTATAAATCCTGAAACTATTTTTATGTGGGGATGTAAAGGTATCAAAGTTTGACATAACTTGAAACAATCTGACCTCATACGAAATTACTAAGTGTTTTGATGAAAAAACTATATATGTAATAATTCTAATAATTTTTTATGACAAGAGTTATCTTAAGTGGTAAAAAAGAGGTCTCGGGTTTAAGTCTCACCTTATTCAAAAACTCTTGTTAGGAGACTCACCCACCATAAGCCAGGTGTATGACCCGGGTCAGATTCAGATGTAGTCGGAGCTAAACTTCGGTGAACCAGATGAGCATCCTATAAAAAATTAGCACCGCTCAAATTCAAAGCAATTCAATATGCATGGACTTTCTTTTTTTTTTTTTTAGGAATGATATGGACTTTTATTAGAGAGATTTCGACCTTATTAATAATTTGAGTACTATGATTATACCAAAAATAAATGGAGCATTTAATTGCCAAAGAGTAATGGAGTGTTCAATTCCTCCCCCTTTTTTTTTTTTTTTTTTTTTACCTAATTGAACTCATTTATCCCAAACTCATTGTATGTGAACAAAATAGCTGAACAAATTAAATCATTTTAATTATTTTCCTTAAATAATTAATCATTTTAATTGCCAAAGAGTAATGGAGTGTTCAATTCCCCCCCCCCCCTAATTGAACTCATTTATCCTAAACTCTTTTATGTGAACAAAATAGCTGAACAAATTAAATCATTTTAATTATTTCCTTAAATAATTAATCATTTTGGTTGATTTCAAGGTAATTTTTTTTAAAAAAAAAAAATGCTACCCACCTATTGTAGATAGCCTGGGTTCAAGGTGATTTTTCCAGCATTTATACCTCCCTTTACTTGACAATCATACATCTCATATTAATCAAGAGCCTTTTGTTGATAAAAATACACCATATATATTGCTTAATATATTATTGTGAAGCCTCTATAATTATTTATACTTTTTATATCGATATAAATATGATTAATATTTTTAGGTGATCGCTCGTTTATAAAAGCCGATATAGTTTTATGAAGTAAAAATTTAGCGTATTTTAACAAGTTTAGATGAGTGTTATTATTGGACTAAAGTTCAATCCACTCTGATGTTTAATTAGGTCTATTCTATAGGGTTTTTTTTAAAAAATTAGGCCTTCAAATTAAAGATTTGCTCACCCTTATTCAATTGAGTGGGGGTATATCTATGGTCATTGACCAATTGTTTGTTATATGTTAATCATTGCTAAGAAGATCTATATTATAATGACAAGCAAAAACTTCAAATTGAAAAGTGAATCCATCACCAAAAACCTTTTTCTTAGCAACCAAGAAATGTACATACACAAATCAATTACAAAACATTGAAACACTTGTATCTCTAAAGATAAAAATCAACCAAAACATTGAAATACTTCAATCTCTAAGATCTTAATCATCCAAGCTATCCAAAATACTTACAATTTGGGTAATTTTAGGCCTAGTTTTTCTAGAGTTGCCAACACAAGCTAATGCCACTTTACCTAACCTAACAATAGGCTTCATATTAGAAGGTATTTCAATTCTTGGGTCTAAAAACTCACTATACCTCATTTCCTTAATTAAAGGCAAAACCCACCCCACTAGCAACCCACCTTCATTCCTCTTGCCCGTTAAGAGTTCCAACAATACCACACCAATTCCATACACATCACTTTCTTTGCAAGCACCACCACTTTTTCCTTCTAACCAATACTCCTCATCAACATACCCTAAAAGCCCCATTTTCTCATTTTTTGAGGCTAAAAAAGACAACCCATAATCACACAACTTTGGGCAAAACTCCACATCTACCAAAACATTAGAGGGCTTCACACAACCATGGACTACTTGAGGTGCCATCTTCTCGTGCAAATACTCGACCCCACGAGCTATTCCTGCCGCGATCTTTAACCTTTGTGACCACCCCAAGAGAGACGGTCCATCAACATGTTGGTGCAAATAGAAGTCCAAACTCATTGTGTCCACATACTCCATTAAGATGATCCTTTCCCCCGGGGCCTCGGAAAAGCCCAATATAGGCACTATATTAGGGTGTTGGGCTAATGATAGTGACTTGATCACGGATTGAAATCCAAGACCGGCTTTACTTAATACTAACCATGGGTAGATTCTTTTAGCCACCACCAACTCATCTTTGTCTAAAACCGCGGCATAAGTCGTTCCTAGGCGCCCTTTTCCAATGATCCTATGAGGATTGAACCGATCCGTGGCGCTATCAATTTCCGACAAGGGATAATTCGTTGCACTAGGCTTGATGATAGTCGTCACCTCGAAATCTTTACTAGGCTTGAATTGTTTTTTCCTACAAAGAAAGAAAAGAATTATGGATAAAAGAACGATTGAAATTGAAAGAAAAGAAAGAGTGAAAGCATAGAATATGTGATTTCCATGATAAAAACTCATTGTTGAAAGAATTTGATCATAACATAAAGTGTTTAAAGGCTTATATATGAAGAAACTAAGTAAAAGGACTTAAAAGACGGTGCATCTATAGTTTGACAATAAGATTGTGTACACTTTGAAAAAAGTTTGGAATTTTGTTATTTTATAAAATTTGGAATTTTTCTTCATATAATTTAAAAAATTTATAATGTTTTGGTGAATGGTTGGTGATCGCTCTCTTGCACATACTAACAAAAAGCAATGGATTACAACTCTCTTCTTGGTAGGGAACATTTAAATGTCTAACTACCATAGAAAATAAGAAATATACATATAGTTTTTGTTGTATTAATAAATTGATGTTTTACCCAAACTAAATTATTTCCACTTAGTTGGACTCTTTCTTCTGGTATCAAGTCATTGATTTTAGCTACTTTAAATAAATAAAATTGTAATAAACGATTAGTCACAACCATTAGCATTGATTAAGGAATTAACGAGTAAATAATATAAAGGTGCATAAGATTGAGAGTGAAAGATAGTCTTAGAGACTAATGCATATATTAAGTTGATGTATCAATCCGATATTATAATCCTTTTGTTTTCTATCTCAATTGTTGAATCAAACTTGCCTAACACCAAGAATAATTAGTCGACACTACTACAAGATTTAGATGAAACCTACTAAATTTTTGGGTTTTCTTTGTAAAGGAAATATAAGGCATATTGTTGTTATATACTCTTAGAAAATTGCATTATTTTTACACTAAATATACATAATTAATTATTAATAATAATAATATTTTTAACAAAGTTTACATTATAAATATATATTAATAAATATGTAACAACATATTTCATGATAAAATTTATTTTAATATGTCAAAAAATTATGATGAAAATTGGTACATGAATCATAAAAAAGTCAAACGTGTTAATTATTCAAGAAAGAAGGAGTAGTTCACAACATATAAACCTTGGGCATAAACCATGTTGGAATAAAGCAAGGTTTGACACGATAAATTTATTACCTCAAGTTCTAGAGGTTGGATTTTTGAAAAATTAAAATAAAATAGAGCTATATGTAAGAATTAAAAACATAAAAATTTTATCATTGTCTCATTAAAATGGTCGGGTTTTTTTAATGTCATATCAAACATATCAATATAAAGGAAACTTTTTTTTTTTTGGTCTTTGTCCTTGGTCTTTGTCCGTGCACTACCCACATTGTATCCCGTCAATTACATAGTACTGTGTAAGATTCATAACAAAAAGTAGATATTGTCCTGTTGGAAATTACTCTCTCCATTCTTAATTAGTTTACGTGGTTTGACTTAAAAAACAACCATTTAGTTTTAAGATTTTTTTTTCTAAAATAAATTTGGAAATTTCCTTTTGGGCTAATACCCCATGTACAATCTCTTTTTCTCTTTGGTAAAAAGTGAAAATTCTCTTTATCATTGATAGTTTTGTATTAACTTATATCATTAAAGATATTAAAATTTTAACTATCGTTAGAGGTTTTTGGTAAGTTATTTTTTTTAATTTTTTATTAATTAAATTACAAAAATAATTAGGAAATTTTGACTTTTACCATAAAAAAAAATCAAAAAATTGTTTTTTACCACCAAAACTTCTAAAACTTTTATTTTACCACCAAAAAAAGTTCTAAAAATTGATTTTTACCACCTAACATCAAGAAAACCGTTAAATCTAACGGTTTAAAAAAATTTCTTCGAATTTTGTGCGCAAAAATATGCTTTTCATAGGTTTAGGGGGGCATATTGGTCCTATGGATCCAATTTGAGGTTAGAATTGACAAAAAATTATCGAAAATGTCTCGTTTTGCGTGTTCACGCAAATCGAGGTATTTATAAACACGCAAAATGAGACATTTTTTATCATTTTTTGTCAATGACTTCAAATTGGATCTGTAGGGACAAAATGCTCCACAAAACCTCTAAAGAGCATGCGTTTGACACGAAAATCGAAAAATTTTAAAAATTGCGTTAGGTTTTTGACCACATGTGGTAAAAAAACAATTTTTAATTTTTTATTTGGTGGTAAAATAAAAGTTTTAGAAGTTTTGGTGGTGAAAAACAATTTTTTGATTTTTTTTGGGTGGTAAGAGTCAAATTTTCCAAATAATTATTTATATAAAAAAAAGCCAACCCCTCCCCCCCCCCCACCAACCAGCCCTCCCCTTGCTGCCCGCGCCCAGCCCTCCCCCACAAGGCGGCGACGTGCAACCACCCCACACCCAAATCGTTTGGCTTTTTAGTGGTTTTTGGTGGATTAAAGCTAAACCTATGTAGAGAAGATGCCATTTGGGGTTGAGATTTCTCCAGCAAGAACCCATAACTTTAATTTTGACTCATTCAAATGTCGAGTTTCATCTTCTCCATTTCCCATTCATTTCTTGGTCATATTGATCGCAACTGCAGCTGGGATTACAATATTCAACCCATAAACAAAGACTTGTCATTTCTTCCATTAATCAACACTCATCTTTGAGCTTAATTTGGGATTTAATTTATTAGGTATCAAGTTCTAATTTCTAATCCAAATCTTTAGGTAGTTTAGGGTTTCTGAGGCTGACGAACAAGGAGGGGGCCCGATTTCGGGGTGATTTGAGGTTTGGTTGGGGTTGGGGGCAGGGTGGGGCGTTTGTCCGTACCACTATGTCAAGAAACCCCAAGCATACAACCCACAAACACAAATATGACTACACAGGTTCTTTATCAACGAATTTTTCGCGTTGTACTATTGCTTCGCCGAGTGAATACCCGAACTACGAGTCTTGCAACAACAAAAGACGTTACATAAAATATAGTTGAAAACACCCTAAACTAACATAAAGTACAATGTCAATGGTTGGACGATTAATCGAAGGCAAGATGCATGAATGATACCTGCTTTATAGATTCAAGATCGCGTCTGCATCGTTCCAAGCATATGGCCAGGTCAACATTTCGGTCTCAAAGCTATGACACCGTCATATTTTCCACAATAGCTATTCAACATTAAATTTCCCACCTTCCCCTATAGAGCTTTATATATACCTCTTGTAAAATTCTAGTGTACACGCCCTTTTTTTTGTGTGTGTGTGTGTGAATCCAAAAAATGAGTATTAATCTACATTTTAACACTTTTATTTTTCCGAAAAAAATTTATGGGCCCCAAAAAGGGAAAATACGGGAAAAATACGGCAATTGAAAAAGTAGAAAAATTTGTTGAAACAATCCAAAAGATGGGGAAAAGGTTGGGAGTAATAGGGGGATGAGTTTTTGACACTTTTTACATCTTATATTACCCTTATAGTGTTTTTTTCGAGGTTCAATACCGGGACCGAGAGTGTGGTTATTCACCTTAAAATAGGGTGATATATAGGGGGACATTTTATGTTGATGGTGATGATGAAGTGAATTAATTAATTGTTTACATGAGATAAGATATTATACTTACATTACAACATGAATATTTTGTTAAAATTTATCAATCAACTCATCACATCATATCAATCAACACACATGTGAATAGTGTAGGAGTTTATAGGTACTACGCAGCGGAAAAACATGAATCATATTCAATCAAGTACCAATCCCAAGAATCACATGCATAACACACAAGACACATAATCATACCTTTGACGTGTGAATTCCACGAAGCTATTCGACAGGAAAATCAGGGAGAGAATAGAGCCCCAAGCGTTGCTCCTCTACTTAGTCCACGAGATTCGAACGAGCCGTCCACCAATACTAGATTGGTCGAGTGATTGAGGAGAACCGCGATCACCACCTTTACAGACAACCGACCACCGCACGAACCACCACCACCGCGACACACCACCGGCGCCTAGGAGGAGGAGAGAGTCGTGAGAGAGAGAGAGGACTATGAGAGGGGTTGGGTTTCGTGTTTTCTAATTAGGGTTTGATCACACTGATCAGCTAATTGCTTTCCTGTACTTGCAAACCTAGGCACCTAGTCTATTTATAATCTCATTATAATTAGACTAGGGCACGAAACCCAAAACTCTCTTGTCCACTCCATATGGCCAGGCACCTAGAGTGATGAGGCCCATGATGGGCCTCGTCCTCTAATGCTCGATCTGCCCCTTTGTGTGACCTTATATGGACCGTCCAATTGGGCTTTGGGCTATTTTACTAGTCCAAAGATCGTTAGTACCTCTAGCTATGGAAAAACGACGACCCAAATGTACGAACTTAATTATCTCCATAATTTGATCCATTTATATATATCTAGTAATTGCACACGACGAAGACATAACTCCTTCAATCTCCCACTTGTCTGAGACAAGGGTGCAATATTCAAATCCCTTAAGTCATTATATGTGTCGATTTGATAATATGATTGCATCACATGTCGAGATCATATTAATCTACAAATCATTTCTTGAAATCTGAGTTAGAATTACAAAACCAAATGATTACTGTGTAATGCATTTGAACGCGGCCATGTATTTTTTGAATTCTCCCTCTTCAAGTGGCCATGACACATTTCCTAATTTAATAGGTAGACTCTATCCAATCTTGTGGTAACATGACTCCCACTCAACTTCTAAAATAACTGGGAAACACCCTTTATAATCTCCAGTTACGGCTAGACGTTTGAGTGTATCACAGTCACAACATCCATTGAATGAAATCAATGTTCCACTCATGTCAAAGGAATCCACTAATATATACGGAAGCTCTATACTTGAACTTCAAAGTAGGTCAATAGTTCGATCATGCATCATTCATGCATATCCAAGTGATTGACCGAGCATCACTATGCCCCTGTAGCCCATGAAACTGCGTTATCCAATCAATCTTACATGCTAGTTCATTTGTTGAAATCATTTATGTCCACTTAAATGATCTCGAACTAGGAACTTTAAATAATATATGAATTTTGTTCACCTGTGGGGTTTCAATTCACCAGGTCATCAACCTGATGAGCCCATCAATTCATAATTATTTTGGACATTTTATTTAATTTCCAAAACCATAATTAAATAAGAGAAATAATAATTTCTATTTTAAACATAATTCTGCAAATTGATGCATTTCTCATGTAATATGTTTTCTCAAAACATATACAACTTAAATTACATAACTTGCTTCAATCCTAATACTTTAATATGACTCTCATATTTTAGTCCATGTAAGGGGTTTAGTGATTTCTCACTCATAATAAAACTTTGCAGAACACGACCTTCCGCTGGTCAATGATCTCATA